GGTGAAACAAACAACTATGGGCAGGAAGAAAATCATCCTAACAACCTGTCTGAGAAATATATACACCTGCAACCCCGTATGGACACTTTTCTTGTGTCCACTTCCTAGGCTCTGGGCAGAATTGCGTATGATCACTCTTTCCGGCCATATTCCAACCAAAATGGCCGTGTTGAGCTGCCATCCGATTCATGTTACTGTCATGGGGTTCACTTTTGAGCTGCCATCGGCCCGGATTCGGCACCAGGATTCGGCCAGGCCATCATATGGCCATGGCCATGTACCAAAAACGTGTCGTGTCCGTCAAACAAGTGCCGCTGATTGATATGTCAAACAGGAAACGTCATTGGAAACATATCTTTTTCCAATAGACCGGCAGTATTTGGGCGCCACCTGAAGGGGAGCATTTGGGGTCCTGACCACGACTGCAGCGAGTCATTGACCTATAAGGTGAACCACCCCTTTGGCCATATGCCCACCTTTTTTGGGACGTATGCATATGGACAAAAGAGGTGTACATTTGGGGACCCAGGTGCATACTTTAGGTATACATTGTAATATATATATATATCATATACATTCGCTATATAATTCTATATATATATATATGTATTAAATCCCATTGGTATAGCGCATGTATACCCATGACCATCTCCCTTGGTATAGATCCCTTATGAATTCCTCTCCTGATTGGTCTCCGAAGATCCCATTCTGCACCTGCTCATTCACGAACATGATGGCCTCCGCGACCGCGATGCGACGCGACGCGACGCGCGGTGACGCTTCCAACGGTGAACTGAGTCCAACGGCCCGGACGAATCGGTCCGAGCATGTCCGAGCGGAGCTTGAGATCAATTGGTGCCTTGTCGGGCACAGGCCCTGTTTCTAACGAGATGGGAGTGAGTGACTGGAGTGGGCAAAAAAGAACATAGAGGCGCGTTCAGCAAGCACATCTATGTTCTCAAGATCAGTTTGGGAAAGCCGTGTTCAGTTTGCCAGTATCCTTGGGGCAAGTTCGACACAGCACCTTGATGTCTAAATTAAAAGAGTGACTCTTACATAGACCCCCCAAATAGATACAACAGTAGTAGATCCTCACTTTCAGAATGTCTGGGAAAAAGACCGCGTTTCTATCATATTTGGGGACCACTAGAATGTGTGGGTCATGAACGGAATGCTCCGATCTGAGACCGCTTTTGGGCGCTGAGACAAACAGCGTCGGCAAAAACCCCGAGACCAAGTCGACTCTGCCGACTGTGGAGGTACATACCACCACGAAAACGGAAGTGGATGATTCAAAAGGGCTCCTAAGCCTATAACTTGTTACAAGCATATGACATGCATAGGCATAGAACAAATCTTTCTGTTGTTTTCAACAAATATCACTTCCAATTGAAACAGTGACTCCAAGTGTTTACCTTTACTCCAACCAAAAAAATGCCCCCCACCATCACCCCATTTCCCTTCCCTCCCCTTCTCCAGTTCTATTCCATCCCGCCTCCTGGACGGTGGCACTGCTGGGACATCCCTCCAACTTCTCCACCCGACCGATGCGGGGAGCTCTTGCTTTGGTGCCCTCGCGTGGATCCCAAGCCTTCCTCGGCGGCGAGGCGACCAACGACACCGGTGGGACGCATGGGCAGGGCCTTCGGCCTGGGCGACTGGCACGCCGAAGCGGTGGTTTGAAGCATCTGAGCTACAGTGTCAGATGGCACAAGTATGTCCCCCTGAAAAGGATCCAATAAGGTGGTTTATATGGAAACCCCAATCTGTAAATGGACATGTCGGGGTGCCGGTGCCATCGAACCTCTGAACCCTCTATAGCCCAAGACTGTTTCCAAGCTATGGCCAAAGTTGTCTCCAAGTGTCCACTCACCATCGTAAAGTCCAGCTTCTCTCTCGCGCATAAAGTATTCCAAACTCACTGGCATAGCTGCACCTGGAAATGGCTCTCCATGGCTCCCAACCCAGTGCAAGTGGCATGTCAGTGGTTGTATGTACTATGAATAGTGGTCCGTTTGAGCGACTTTTGTACATACATTGTTGTGCCGCTCCAAGTGTGATATTATAAATATAGCTCTCAGCGATGTCCTGCCTCAAAATTGAAGTCCCCCCGCCGGCCTAAGCTACGACTCTTGGGCGGCGCCGAAGCTGAAGCCGCCGCCGCGGGGACGCCCAGGCCCAGCCGGAGTAAGTCTTGGAACATCTCAGCGAGTTCAGTGTCTGAACAATAGAGCCCATCCTCCATCGCCACGCCGAGCACACATACGGCGCACTCTACTCGCACTCGTAATTACTCTGTAGCCGCAGCGGTTTTGAGCTTTTCTTTTTGTGATGACATGGTATTGACAAACAGCACGAAGGATAACCAAACAAAACACAGCCCGGAAGGTTAAGCATCTATTTTGCCAAAGGATGCTGCTCTGTTCTCAACAACCGTCAGAATTGTTTGAAGGCCTCGTCTTTCCGTAGAAAGACATGCGCACAACAAACAATGACATCCTTACTTACATGGCTTCACTTAACAGAACTCCTCCGACTCGTCGTCCAACAGTTGGCCAAAGGCATCAAGATCACACCCCTGTGGGTCACACAGCATTTGGAACTCCTCTTGCCACTCCTCAGCAAGAGAACTCGCAGCTGAAACATATTTCACGCACAGGGCTCAGCCACAATTCCCCAAAAAACACGATCTGTTAGTCAAATCATATGGTAGTGAGGAACGTTACAGACTTTAAAGTCTTCAGGAAAACATATTGAAAACCATGTGCTATTGCTATATAACTCTGTATAAATAAGGATCAATACATAAAAACACATCGTGTATATATATATATATTGCTGTATATGTATAACAGGTGGTCCTTGCATTGCATAGTTCCTTCAAAGTTGAAATTGATAAAGCAGCTCACACCCATAACCTACGTCACTTGGACCAGTGAACCGTTTATTTTTTTGTGGCGACTCCCAACCTAGGATTTGAGCATAGCACACTCGCTGGGTAAATATGGATTCCAACATGAGGCAACAAAAATATGGAACACGTTTTCCCCAAAGGAGCACACCACATGCACGGAGCACAGTGGAAAGGGACATTTTTGGTGTGGAAGCCAGGCTTCCTTCCCTTCACTCAAATCCCCTTCCCTCAAGCTACGCTCTTCTGCATGGCATGGTGGGGCGAATCAATTCCACGATTTCGCGTGGAAAACCAAACACATCCCCCAAAAACCAACCATCAAAAACGCGAAAACGCCTTCACCTTGCAAATCCAGCGACCTCTTCTCTCTCTCTCTCTCTCTCTTCCCCCGCTCCGCATCCGCCCTCCGCGCGGGTTTGGCCGAGCGTCCGCCTCGCTGCCCTCGAAGCCCGAGAGCTCCGCGAAGCGCCGCATCTCGGCGCGGCTGAGGCGTCGGTTGCCGTCGCGGTCCAGGGCGGCGAAGATCGAGGACTTCAGGTCGTCGCGGCGCCTGAGGTCCGAGCGAACCGGCCGGCGGCGCCGGTTCGGTGGTGTGTCAGGTGGTGAAGAGAAAGGGAGACACACCCCACGTGTGTCGGACGTGGGGGAGTTGATTCAAGGTGAGATGTGCGTTAGGGGGTTAGAAGATGGGAAGATGAAAATAAAGATCATGAACAAAAACACATCAAATTGGATTATGATTCATACGAAAATATATATTATATTATATGTACGAGTATGCTGTATAATCCATTGTAATCCTGGATGCACACAATTAATCTCCAACGGGGGTTGGTAGACTGGTTTGGTGCTCTGTTAACTGTTCAAGTCATTTGGGCTCCCTTAGCCGGATGAAGTCACTAGAACCAAGTCAAACAACACTGAATAACTTTTAACTTAATTAACGATACTGTGGCAGGTTTAAACCAAGAAAAGGAATTGAAATTACTGGAACTTATTTAAGTTTAAACAACATTAAACAACAAATGGGATAGAAATCAGGTGTCTTCCTGATAGATGTTCCTATAAACTCCGAAAGCATAAATTCATATAAATTCAGAATCCTTCCAGCTGCCCCTCCCCTTCCCTTAGCCTTCCAGCTGCCCTCCCTGCTCCGAGCTTCATTCCGGATGGATCTGACGAGGCCACGCCTCGCGGCAAACGGCCCCTGGCAGCGGCCCTGCGCGGCGCGGGAGCCACATGCGTGAAGGTTTCAGGCCAACCTGAGCCACGCAGATTTTGTGGGGCCGGGATGTGAAACAAAGATCTCTTGAATCCAAGGAGATGGAGAAAAACAATCATGAATAAGGAAACAAAAGCTTTTAAGGACAAAAACATCCTTAGATCTGTTGAATCCAAGGCCTGTTCACTCCAACCAGGGAGTGGAGGCTTGGTCGGACTCTGCATCAGGACAGGTTGCACAATCGCAGTACGATCACCAATGAGAGGAGCCAGCAGGGCACATGTCCCGCGCGGAGCGCCATCAGCGATGATATATATATAATATTATTAATAAATACATGTTAATGGACAGGCTAATTGCAGCAAAGCTTATGTTGCATAGTCGCATCTAGCAAAGCAAAGGGGCACTCTTGACAGTGGATCTTCGTGTCTGCTCCTTAATCTGCGGTCTGAGCAAACAGCTGTTCAGTTGTATTTGCCTTTAATGGTGCACAAGCTATATTGCATCTCCATGGTTGTTTCATGTTGTTTCCATTCAGTCACTTCCAGAAGGACCCTCTCACCCTTTCAGGGCCCTTTCATGCCACTCATTGCTACTCCAACAGGTGTGAGGTTGCTGAACTGTCCATGAGCCATGTATGCCAGGCACGAGGTTTGAGCTGAAGAGACGCCAGGCACGCTGTGCGACAAGCAGCCACGCCCCAGGCATGTTGAGAAGTAACAATTTCATACAATTTCAATAGCAGCTCTTGTTGTGAGTCTATCATTGGGGATTGGTCTCCCCTCGCGCCCGCCCTTGAACTGGGGGGGTGCCCCGGTGGTGTTGTCTTCCACCTTCGGGTCCGCAACACCAAGTCGGCGACTCCTGGCTGGCATCTCGCCTCAAGGGAATGCACCCGTCAAATGGCTGGAGACTTTTGTTACGAGTAGCTTCTTGTTACCAGTAGCGATGGCCTCCAACCTACTTGCGATGGCCTCCACCTCATAGCGTCAAGACTTGCGAACTTGCTTGGCACACATGGAGTTTTGATGTAGTAGGCAAAACCCCCGATCGTCCTGGCTGGGTAGACTGGTCTATTTCCCGAACCTTCCAAAGGGTCGACCTGGGAGGTCTCGCTACTTTAATGCAAACTTCCACATGGTGGTTTGATAGGGCCTATAGGGCTTCATGTCCAACTCGTCATATTTTTGGGAAGCTACGTAAATATCTTCAAATCAACCGGTCACTTGTGGCAACTTAAACTTCACGTCCCTTTGTCTTTGTTCAGCACTGGTTGGTTTCCTCAATACCCCGCGAAAACACAGAGTCATCGTGAGCAGCACTGATGAGAAATTGCACTGGTGCACCGAAGCAAACAGGAGGTTTCACTCAATCTGCAAAGAACACGTGGATGGACCTTCACACCCTCAATATCCGAGATAGGGCACTACCAAATTTGTGTCTGCACATGTGATGTTCCTGGAAGGAAGGCAAGGACAGGCAAGGTATGTTATGAGACCACAGAGTTTCCTTGCCACTGTGCACCACAGAGTTTCATGCCCGAAGTCGGCTGATCAGCACATCACCAGTGCTTGTCTGGTCACTTGGTGAGAAGGAAGAAGCACAACTCGTCAACGCTTTCGATGATCAGTTTAGCTTGCTCCACACTTCTGCACAACATCCTCAGGGCCAGGGGCGTCCAACCAATGGAAGTTCTTGATCGCAGAATCCAAGAATCCAATGACGTGGACCCCTTAAACATCCTTAAACTATTGTAATAACTACCACATCGGCGATCAACAGCTCAAACAACTGAATCAAAGGAATCTGGAAGACCCCTCCAACAAAAAAGGAAGAAACAGCTTAGCCAAGCTGGCCACGGGGTTCTAAGGTAGAAGAAAGCACAGCACTTCCCTCTGCAGGGTGCATCTGTGTGCTGGCACCGAAAACCCGCGAGATCAAGCCCTAGGTCGGTGAGGTGTTCGTCACGGCAGGGCTCGCACCAATTCACCAACTGGGCCGGTCTGGAGATCAAGCCCTCCGGAGAAAAACACAAAAACACCTGTTCCCACCAACGCCGCGGGCAACAGGTGCAACAAACGCATGAGACATGGTGTAGAAATCAAATGTCCAAACCTTTTTGTCTGTTATGTTCTGGGTTTGGTCAACCAATCTGTTGTGTAGAGGGATCTAAACAGACCAAGTCCGAGGTCAAACCCAACGCTGGTGTCAAATGGGTGTGTAAAGAATTGGGAGACGTAACCCATGCGATTGCCTGGAAGGTTCGGGAAACAAACCAGTCTACCCAGCCAGGGCCAGGGGATTTAACTTACCGAATTGTTTTTGAACCCTAGGGCTCCAACTATATCCTCAGGTTCGGTGGTTAGACCCCCCTGGCACCTACCCCAACCACCTTCGAAACGGAGGTGGGCCAGGAGCCCCAGGGAAAATACACCCCCAAATCGACCCTTTTGGCCACCGTGGTCAGGCTCGACTCGCAAATGGTTTTCAGCGAAGCGAACACGGTCCACCTGTTCTTGTCGAGTGGAGTTGCCCCAAAGGGTTTGCAGGAGCCTATCCACTTTTGAAATACTCTTCATGGCTAGATGAATGATTGATTCAGGTTCCGTGCCTTATGATTGCACAATTCATAACCAGCTGGTCGATCGCGAGTCAAGGAGCTCCACATAGGCTCGCTGGAGCAACAGAACTTTAGACCCTCGCTTCTGGTGTCTCTTCAGCTCCTTTCGTGGCGCAAGACAGAGGTGAAGTGAGAACTAAGGAGAGGGAGAGAGATGAACTATGGCGCATCGGAAAAAAGAAGATCAAGGACCACTCTTCATTAGCAGAAATCAGGACCAGTCTTCCTCTCCACCCCGTTCAGTTCGGTCCAAATCAGTCGATCGAACGGTTCAGTTCGGTCCAGTGATGCTTACGTAGTTCGATCACGCCGTGTCACCGAAACCGGTCACACAAACCGCGCCACGGCGGATGAAACCACGGTGCCACGGCGGAAGGAGGTTTCAGCCGTTTTCCATCGGAAAGGCCTTCTGGAAGTTGGGCCGCCTTTGGGCAGTTTGCACATACCTCAGCGAAGAACAGGACACGTCCACAAGACAAATCCGTGGTAGCGGCGGTAGCGGGTATTCATGGATTCCATCTCTTCAATCACCTCCACCTCTCAGAACCCTTCCGAAAGTTCGAAAAACATAGATTGATCGAGATCCATGCTTTCTCCGGCGGCTACCGGTCACCCTTCGACCCGGACCCTCCACGTCCGGTCCGAAGCCCCAGAGGCCACTCATCGGAGAGAGCCATTGGATCCTGGGTCTTGGAATCCTGACTGTCCTGGGAAGATGAACGCGCAGTTCGGGATCGGTGAGAAAAAGGAGAATGAAGTGACAGTCTGATGATCATGACCTCCTATTCCGACCAATCAACCTGGAACTCTCTCTCTCTCTCTCTCTGTATCTCTCTCTCTCTCTCTCTGCAGTCATAAACACCGGATATATACACATACACATCTCTCTCCGACAAAAGTGCTGTTACCTCCACTCAGGATACGATAACCAGCAGGTGTAACTTCAAGCCAGGCCTCTTAATCTCTGGTTGGTTGGTTATTTTCAGAAAATCATATGTTGATAGTTTGTTTTTGTTCAGAAGTTGTTTTGCCTCTTCCAACTGTCTTCCATCTACCCATCTCAACATATTTCAACTGGAGTTATGCAACACCAACACCATTCATTTGCCACTCTTCCGTTCATGACAATGGAAAGGATGGTGGCAATCAAGTGTATATAAGAAGAGGATCTACTAAGTCACTGTACCTTAGGCTAGGAGCGGACCTAACTCCTCTTGCATGGACCTAACTCCTTTTACCTTCCATTCATATATATATATTATATATATGTATATATGGGGTCTATCCTAATACCTGGGCCCAGTGGATGATGATGGTTCAGTTGCAGGCCTTGTTCAAAAATAGTGATGTTCTTGTTTACTGACGGTTACAGGTAATAGGACAGACCTGACAGACCCAAGATATAGTTGTCTGTCAGTGACAATGTTCACAAATGATGCTCAATACATGTCTCGAACATAAGTCAAGTTCAGCAACATGTCACAAACCTACTGAAACAGCAAAACAAATAGGAAACGTGTCTTGGCTAAATTTAGGAAAACATATGACGTCATCAAACCAATGTCTGGCTACATGTCAGGCTGGCTTCTGACACAGGATTGGATTGTTTTCTGGGGTGCTTTGGACAGTCGAATGTCAAGTGTAGTAGGATATTCGATATTGGCATATATTGACATAATTACTTTTAATTTTGCAAAGGGCATATCAATATATACATGTACATAATTTATATATAATATATGTTTCAATGTGTCTCTTTTAAAGAACTGCATGACGTCGACCACCGGTCTCCACACGCCGAACACAGCACGCCGGTCGGCCTTCGGCCGAACATCGGAGACTTCGAAGAATCCGAGCGTCACAGGTGATGACATGCTGGTTCAGTGCCACCAGGTGTCCTTGCGCCAAGGGATTCTCCTTGAGGATGTCCTTGGTCTTCTAGCGATCCCGAAGCTCCCATGGTCCGGTTGCAAAAGTCCTCTCATTTGTAGTGCGAGTGGGATGGAAGTCATATACTAAAAGGAAGTAATTATACACCCAGAAATCCAGAGATCCACATGGAACCTGAAAAGCACTGGGTTGTAAAGGAAAATGGTCTTTTAGAGTTCCATCTCTTCAGGTTCCATGTGTCTTTTGCCGGGTGTAGATGGATGGCTCGGATAGCTACGGGGCACAGCTACGAGATTCAGGGAACTCCTGCTCCACATGCTGTTCACACGTGAAAGGCTTACTGAAAGACTTCTATTTCATTGCCACATCTGCACATACCCATCTGTGGCACCAAGATCATCTTGTACTTATACCATCTTATACCGATCTCCTCCCATGGAACACCCCGACAGCTCCCGTTTCTTCGTCCTGGACTGCCGAAACCGTCTCTGAGTCTGCGGGCGTCCCGGTCGTAGTCCGACAAGGCATTGGCCTCCTTCTTGCTTCCAGGCTGACTCCACCACCTGATGCTTGGGGTTGACGTGGAAAGGGCGGGTCAAACAGCTGGTTGGAGAAAGGCGACCCACCAGGTAGATGGTGAGTGAAACTTGGTAAAGCCAGCCATCTTCTTGAGGTTTTAAAATTGTGTTCCTTTTTGTTGGTTCATTCAGGGTAGGCACTTGGATGAAATGGAATTTGGGGCTCTCCCACTTTTGGATTGAAGTGTTAGCAGCCAAGCATGCACAAACGCCGTAGCAAAAGCTCGCCTCGCATTCATCTCGAAGCAGCTGTCTGGCCTGGGCTCCCAGGGTGCCCAGAATTGAACACAGCATCGGAGAGACCCCATATATTCCCATATGTTGTGACAAAAGCCTTCTCAACTTCTTGTCCTGCCTTTGGTCAAAACAGCCTCCACAACCCTGACTTAAGGCTAAATAGCATCATCCTTCAAGAGTCTTCCATACCCAGGACGTAGGGTTGAGGGCAAGAATCGTTTTCCAAGCCAATGAAGCAAAGGAACACCTTCAATCCAGCCCTGACTGAAGGTTTCAAAACACGCCGGCACCAGGTTTCAAACTCTCCTGAACCCAGGTCAATAAATTAACTATAGTATAATTTATAATGATATAAATAATGTTGCATTTTAGATGTCTATTAGACGGGCAAACCTGATTCTTTGTGCTAGATTCGCCTCGCCTTGGACTTCGGGAGCGGCTCCTTGGAGCTGCCATCGTGACATGGCTTCCCGGCATGGCGTAAGACTCCGCGCTCGGTTCCCATGGAGGGGTTTGGAAGAACCACATGGATAATGGATATGTTCCCGACTAAATGGATAAGACTGGATAACAGCAATTTCATGCAATTTCTGGCTGCTTGGATGCGGAATACGGAGGGCTTCCATGGCTCATCTAATCAATAACCAGAGCTTGACGTGGACAATGGATGACCATCTCTACCTTTCCGGAAAGAAATGGAGCCAACTACCTCCAGAATGTTGAGATTTGCTCAGGTCTCCTGTGGGATGGGGACATGCCAAAACATGACAGTTGCGATTGGCTGCTGCTTGCCTCACATGCCTCACCTAGGTTGGCTGCTTGGATCCCCCAACCGGTGAATAGATCTTGGATGAAAAACACCAAGCGCCGAGTGTGCTTGGTTTGTCTCCTTACCATGAGGTGTTGTCCTTATCCAACACACATGGATGTGCCCCTTTGGAGCCCGGCCAGCGTGGCTGGGGGAGTGTTCCAATCCAACAACCAGGCGATTTACACGCCCATCTCCAGCCTTCCTTTCCCAACTGCTCCAAAACCACAGGTGTTCCTTTTGCACAAACTTCATTCCGCGTGGAATTCAGCCTGAAATCGTCTTTAAGTATCTCATTCTTATGGCATTCATGCACTTCCACCTGATATGATGATTCATGACGCTTCGTAGAACATGTAGAATCTGTATGCATATGTCATGTATGCTGCTACATGTGTTTCCATCCTTTTCCAATCACCAGCCTTTTGCGAACTGTAGTCTGTGGCTTTTTCTGGGGAATCTATCCGTTGAGTTAATGGATGTTAATGGTATTTGTTGCTCTGACCATCATTGACGGACAGCTCCTGTTTGTCAAGTCCAAGAGGCATCAACAGCGGCCTTGAGCCAATCTCAGAAAGCTTGGCATTGATTGTTTTCACTCTGTTAGCGGAGCCATGGAGTGACTACACCCAAAATGTTGGCTTTTGAATTCCTGCGACAAGACGGCAGGGAAGCAAGCACAACCTGCACGACCTTGTGTTGTTTTGGATGACTCGCGGTGCTCGATGCCAACTTCAACCAGGCCACCTGCGACTGTTCCCCAACACTGTTGGTGCTTGCCAGTGAAATCTCTTCTTCACCAACCGACATCCACCCACCAAACATAAAAACACAAGTCGGATACAAATCAAACAACATCAAACAACACCCCCTCCCCCCGACCCAAACAAAAAAAAACAAACAAACACTATACTATACCACACTCCACCAGGACTCGCTCACCGGGAGAGATGGGCTCCCCGAACGTGGCGCCCTCCAGCAGCGCTTGAGCCACCTTCGTGGCCAGCTGGCTCAGCCTCGTTCGATGGTCTCATCCAGTGTGTCATGGATGGGAAGATTGCCAACCCCCCCCACAAACCACAAAAAAAACACACAATCACACACACAAACAATCTATAGCAGATTTTGAGGCACCCAAATAGTCAATTACAGTAGTTGCTGCTCTTCGCCATGTTTTATTTTTGAGCAGGCTTTACAGTTGTTGAGCTTGCTCCAGCTACCATGTTTGGTCATGAAACATTAAACATGCTTCAGAGTGGGACACCTTTGGGGGACCGCCTCGCGTTTTTCACGCAAGTCCATGCACCATCCTCCTCCCACAGTTGGCACTCTCCATCACACGTCCGGCCAAGCACCGGTCCTCCCATATTCACACGTCGCGGCTCTGTGGGCGACCTGGACTGTTCCTGAGGATTTCGAGACCTCGTCGGGGCGTCACGGGTGAGGGGTCCAACCTCCCTCCGAACGTAGCTTTGACACGGAAGCCGTGAGAAGTCGGCTGAGAGTCCCGGCTCGCGATTGGGATAAACAAACCTCGGAATTGGATGCCGCGAAAGAGGGATGGAAAACCCTCAGAGTGGAGCATTCTGGTTCAGTTCGTGCTGTGAACGGAGCATCTGGGTGGTTTAATGGCTCCAACGAATGAGTTTTTCGTGCCGGAACTCAGCATGAGGTGTCCCCTCGTCAAGCTACAGCAAGGCACTAAAGGTGTAGATCCATGTAACTTCTCGGAGGTGTCTAAATAAAGAAGCTGTGCATGGGCCCTAGGGATCCAGTCGTACCTTCTCAGGTACGGTGATTGTAGACAATGTTATGTAGGTTTGGAGGGGCACACATCCATTCGATGATTCAGAACGACTGGCCTGGAAATGTGGAGACGGGAGGTTTTTAGTCTGCCTGTATCATCACCAACCACCTTCTGAGGGGAACTAACCACCTTCTGAGGGGAGCTAACCACCTTCTGTGGGGATTAATGAACCTAACCACCTTCTGAGGGGATGGTTGGAGCCCTAGGGATCAACGTACGTCAGTGGAGCGGCTCTCAAAAACTATTGCATCTGCCTATATCGTAAGCCCACCAAAGAGAACATGAACAATTGGAGCCGCAAACAATCGAAGAGTTCCAGAGTTGACACAATTCGAGCCGCTCAGTTGATGTTTCAGCCCCCTGCGTACTTAGTAAGTACTTCCGCGAATACCCCGTTGATGCGCGTGGTGGAGACCGAATCGATCCCCCGGTTCCGTCACCAGCGCCGCTTTCTTCCGAGCGTCGGCTCGTTGGGCTCTTCATCGATGACCAAGGCGTCGACCTCGTCGAGGATCAACACGCGGCCTGCGTCTGCTGTGGAGGATCCAGCGCCGGACGTTTTTGCAAAGGAGGGTGAAGGGATAGTTATATGCATGTATGCATATCATATGCATGTTTGCATACATACATTTTTTCAATTATAATGTACAATTGGCTATAGCCGTTTGTAAATAACTTACTGTGCTGGGGTCATATAAAAGTACAACTCAACGACGTTATAGATTTTATACTATATGATTTTAAACAACCAGGATGATTTTAGCATATTATAGCTTTGGTGCCTACATATCTCAAAGGAATAAATGAATCGGAGTTTCGACCCTCTAGGCCCACAGCCTACGTGATGCAAATCTGGGCATCACCGAAGCAACAACAACCTCACTGGCTGTGCATCTCTCTTCTCTGGTCCGTTCTGTCATGTAGGTCTCTCTCTCTCTCTCTCTTGCCCTCCAAGCGAGTTCAGCATAAAGATTGAAGGTGAGATGATGGCTCGTTTTCAACAAGCTGTAGTCGAACACCCAGGTTTCCACGGCACGATACGATGGGTCTCCCCACCTGTCGGCCCTCCACTGAGCAACCGTTCTTGCAACGGTTCTCTCCCAAAAGCTCCACCGGTCTGACGTCGGTTCGGACACACCTCCCCACATCTCCCGCCTGAGTAGCTGTCGAAGTCCCGGGAATCTTGCTCACTTCGGGCGATGCTGGCATAGAAGGACCTGAGAGGGCACCCAACACGTTTTTCACGCGCCGGGGTGCAATATGCCATACATGGAGCGTTTGGGTATATTTGGGTATAGTATGTGGAGGATAGGTGCTGATACGTTCTATGGTGCAAATCGTGTGAACAACAAACTCTTCAGACGTCACTGAAAGAAACAAAACAACTCCTGCGATCTAGAAGTAATACCTGTCTTACCTGTCATTATATAATTACTGTTGTAAAGCATGAAAGCATGATTATACTCTATATAGTCTCTATAGATGCTCTCAAAAATGGTGCCTTGCTCAACCTGGGGTTGGATCAACGCTCGGGCGTTGGTTCTTCAGGTCGCCACTGGACATGTTTGGCTTCGCAGTAGCAGATGTCTGCACTCCCATCCACGCGTGCAGCCAAACCTCGGCGGTCGGTGGAAGGTCCCAGTGAGTCCACCGAGGATGGGGATCTACTTCTTTTAAAGGAACTGTTGCACGAGGCTTCTTCCGGTTGAAGCATCAACAGCTGTTATACTACCTCAAGCTGCTTCAAGCCCGAAACTTCCACGAGCATTGCTGCTTGCTGCTGTCGCACCTATTTTGTTCCTCTCCTCTCCCTCACAAGATGCCGCGCTGAATAGGCCCGGCTGCTGTTCCTGAAGCCTGAAGTTGCCGAAGCTAAAAGCCATGATGAGCCATGAGATGAGCTTTCATCAATGAAGCACATGAAGCACTATGTGCTTGGTGGATGTTCCTCATTTCAAGTTCGTGTTACTTCATCATGTAGTCATGTAGCAGTGTCCCTGGCAGGAATCCCTCCCTCCAAAAAGAAAATAAACATGAAGCATATTGCGAAAAGTTTGGCTACAGAGTTCAGAGTTTGTACTGACTTTGGGGTTCCTTCGTGGGAAACGAAGCTCATCAAACCAAGGCCACTCATCGCGAGGTTAACCTTGGAGAAATCAAGATTGCAAATATGCAGTATTGTATGTGCAGTTGGTTTTCAAGCACTTGGGCTGGCAAGCTGAGGCTTTACCTGAAGCACATCAATTTTAAGTAGTTGTATATACATATATAACTCATATGATTATAACTCTCTATCTATATACATATACACATCATGCATGATACACACTTACACACTGAGTCTATACTGTCAAAGCTGAAGTATAGTTATATTGTCAATATAAAACAATGGTTAAATAATTGTTAAATAATGCAATCAAATTGCAAACACATGTTTCATTGAACTGGGCAAGGTCAAAGGAGAGTATTTCACTTTTTCCAAATGTCTCGACCGTTTCAAACGAGCGAGCGTTCCATACTTTTCGAGACTGAACTCTTCAGCACAAACACAAAAAATCAAACATCGTCATCATATGTTGCATGACAAATCGGCGACGCTTGGACAAATCTCCAAAGTCGTTGTATTGCTGCCGAAACTTCGTGGCCATGGGCATCCTTGGCATGAGATGCCGTGCTGCGGTGAACGGAGACATCTTGGCATGATGAAACGTGATAGTCCTTCTGATGTCTGCTTGACGTCGGTCAATGGAACATGGTTGAGAACAAACACGACCTTTTCCGAATGGATTTTCTAGAAAGAGGCAAACAACCAAAGGGGTTTTCCGCTTCCATTGTAATTAGAGTGTACCAAGAGGAAAGAGATCATTGGTTGATAGCACAGGCTGCTATTTGGCCCAGGATTTACTCGTGTAAGCACACTTGGACCAAATACTTTTGGCCACCTCCTGCAACTCAAGCATCTGATCAGCGATTTCGCGAAAGGCGCGAAAGCTTGGATTGTATCCTGGCAGACCGAGATCGAAACATATCCCAGACCCGACCCTCCATGTATACAAATATGATCAAATATGGTCTACATTTAGATACATTTGGTGGTTTTTGGTGGTGAATGTAGGCCATACATATTGGCTTACATGGAGCCTTTGCCAAGCTGTTGTAAGACTGTGACGACGCAGTCTTAGCTTTATCAACCTGTCTCATATAACTCTATCCAACTGTATCAGCCCACATGCCTGTCTCAACTCTATCAACCTTAAGCCGTCCAGGGCCACCAGTGTCTCTTCTTCGTCCCATGCACCCCTCCACCATCCTCCACCCTTCCACGCACCTGGAATCGGATTCAATGAGGGGATCCTTAGTGACGTCACTTCTAGGAAGCGATGGTGGAGCCGACGCATCTTCCGGAATGCCCCGACGTTTGGTCGGAATGCCGGGCCAAATGCGCCACAAACCATGGCAGTTCATTTGGTTGCTTCTTGTTGATTTTGTACAGCATAATGCGGCACATAGGCAAAGATCCCCTTCCAGGCCCGCCCCCCATCTTGCAATTCCTTTTGAATTGATTCTGTTTGTCTGCTTTAGAATCTAGCGGTCCAGGAACTCGGGAGGGGCTTGCCTACGAACCATATGGAACCTACATATGCTCCCAGTTTCTTGTGCAAGTACAAGGTTGATATAGCAGCTGGAAACCCTCTCTAGCTCCGTTACAGTAGTTTCAGAGTGGCACAAACCCCAAGAGTTGTTGATTGTTGTTTAAAATAAGATGGGGGATAGATGGGGGTCCATATAAACCACCTTTGGGGGGGATGGTTCATGATTGTGCCATCTACTCTGAAACCACTATAATTGTTACTTTTGACTTCACCCGACAAGCTCACACTCCCCCCACTCCTGAGATCGCCAAAACGGTTCTTCGTCGAAGAGGAACGACAAACGGACAGAAAGGCCCGACCGAATTCTTGAGTATTCCGTGTTCATTCTTCTCGTGCCAGGCATCTTGAACATGACGCGCCCAGCAGGGACTTTGGCAACGAAGAACTCGATATTCCCTTTGCCCTGGCCCATTTTCACACCTTGGTCCGCGAATGCAACAACACGGCGCTCTCCCCACAACGCCATTTCACCAAAAGGAAGAAACCGCCACCAGGACCCCTCCGTGGACGATTTCCAACGCGTTGACCCTCTCGATGAAGCCACATCACTCCCAGCTGAGGGAAAACGTGTCCCTGCTGGTGACCCTCTTGTTGCCAGTAGGGCTCTGATTAGGCTTCCAGTTCGCCACATCTTTTTCAACACTGAGCGGACCATGTGGCGACTCCCTGCGGCCACGACACCGTGCGGCTTTCGCGTCACCTCATTGCACGTCCCAGAAGGGCCAAGATCGAGGTCAGTGGAAAAACTAAGGAACCTGGAACCTAAAACCTTTGGAACAATTTGTTGTTCCTTTTCTGGCTAAGCCTGGTACTGCAATATCAGATTCCTGCTGCAAAAACATGACTCTGCCAAAATAGAGCCCCCTATAGATCAATAAGTGGACCCCTCATCATGCTGATGTGTGGAGTGGTTTGCCGCATCAGTCAGTTTCTGGACATGCCCAGGCTAGCTATGCAGTCAGCATAGAAACGTGCCAATCTGTAACCTGTACACGGTGCTAGTTGTTAAACAAATATATGTTCGCCCCCCCCGTACCTACCTTTTGGGTGATTTGATCAGATGTGGGCCACAAATCACTTCTATATCAAAAATGTTATCACAAATTGTAATTTTAAAGGCTTCCCCATGAACCTATATGAAAACTGTCTCAAAAAAATAAAACAAATTTCAAACACATGTTTGTTCAAAGCAAACATTCATTTTATACTACAAAGGAAGTGAATACAAATGTAAACTAAACCAAAAATAGATGACATTTAACTTAAGCCGAATGTACAAAAATGGTGTGAGAACAAATTAAAACATAAAGACTGTTTGTACTTATGTACTCGATTAAGAAATCCGAGCAAAATATTATCAATGAAGTATGTTCAAGTTTAAAAGCAAAAGATTGATGATAAACAACTTAAGATATTAAGATGAATAAAGCTGTCTAAAAACCATTTCGAATTAACCTAAAATATAACATATCTATTCACTAAAGCATCAATTCCGAGGTGCATGTAACTGAGTTGAAAGCATTTTAGCTACAGTTGAAACAAAAGAGTTGAATTTAACTTGCCAGCAACTACAACTGCATTTCTTTATAAAACAAAAAGCTGAGAAAAAATAGTTCAGTTTAATTGAACAACTAATTAACACGTGTTTACTTGTGCTAAAAGCAGCATGAAAATATTTGTCAAAGTGTAATCAAAACAAAGTCTACATGTACGAAAACGAATTGAACAAGTTTAAGAGTAAATTAAACCAAGTAACAGCAATACATTTAGTTCAAAACATAATCAAACATAAATTAAGTCTATTTGAGAGCATATTCAAACATATTGAGGTTCAAAAAAATAAAGTTATCACAAGCAACTGCCATAAACTCAAAACATTAAATTCATTTTTCAACCAACGAGACTCACTTTTAGGAATGTTGCAAAGAAACAAAAACAAAGAGCATACCTTCGATTAAAAGCAAAGCCAAAAATAAGCATCTACTTACAAACAACTTAAGATACGTTAAATGCATTACAAAACATAGTTCACAAACATTGCGTGTTATTCAAGACGTATTATATAACAAACCCTAATGTCAGTGTAAAAGCTTCTTGTGGAAATTTTGGAATAACTACTTCTATATTAAAAACCTTAGTGTAAAAGCTTTTCATTCCAAAAGCTGTTTCTCTGGATCTCTGGAATGATCGTTTCTACATGAAAATTGTTTACAAGCAAGCTAAAAAGCTTATACTTTTGTGTTTCTAACATGTAAAAATCATCAGAACCGGTATAACAAGTTGTCTTTATATTGACACCATTTGATATCAAATTAATACAGGTTACAGGTTGAGGAGGTGGTGCAGCCATGGCCACCGGGACACGTAAGGCAAGGAAGGTAAGGAAAAAGAGGTTGCAGCTTCACATTTTGCAAACTGCACACACCTATATCTTCAGAGTTGCTGAGAACAGGTCAAGGGATCTGTGCAGTTGGTGCATGTGTTAAAAACTTGGCTTTGCAAGGAAAACCAAAACACCAACACTGCAGACCAAATGACCTGGAAAACCATGGAAAACCAAGGAACCAAAGTACCAAAACTGCACAAACCTACGTTCCCGGCTGAGGTCATGCAGGTCATTGGGTCTGCAACTTTGGTATTTTGGTACTTTGGCTTTCCAGGTCATGGGGTCTGCAGTTTTGGTACTTTGCTACTTGGTTTTCCTTTCAAAAGCACAATGCCAAAATACAAAAGCTGCACGGACCTATTTGTCCACTGTGGCAAGTGATGGGATCTGCCTTGAATGTATGTATACAAGGTATTGGAGAAAACCACAAGACACCGTAAAATCTATGATTATGTACATTAAACATATATATATATGGTATGTCTAGCTGGTTCTAGATGCACAGGTTACACATGATGCATCGTCCCCTTTTGCCCTGCAAAACACTGTGCCACTGCGCGACCCTGACTCATTCTCATGCACTCCGCGGGGCGGAATAGGTGGCATGAACGTTTACCAGGAAGTCGCCCTTCCGACCCAGAAACCTCCGGCAACTTGCGTGCGCCCATCGTGAGGAGGGGAGTGGGGAGTTAGTGACGTTGCGGCCAACACGGCGAAAATCGGAGAAGTCCGGAGGTCAAAGGGTGCAGCTGACCATGATGGTGAGAAATTCATCTGGTTGGAGTTGGTGGTGTTCAACTCTGTTGAAGAATATTGGTCACTGGAATCCATCATGTCAAAGTTTGAACCTACAAATATCTGAAACCACCGTCACCACATATCACCACTATCACAAATATATATATATATATTGTGTATTTTGAGGCGTTTCATTGGATCCCATTGAAACCACCGCAGAAACCTCACCTGAAGACATATTCTGCTCATTGAAACCCTATTCACGCCTGTGCGGTATACACCCTGACTCACCAACATAGAAGTGGTAAATGGTCCCTTGGAATGACTACTTCCTTCCCTCCATGAAACAAAGAAAACAGGAGGTTTTCCACCTTCCTTTTGCCCAATGTGATGTGTGCGATGGAACGACCTCCCTTGCTCTACTTGCCTTCTCTTGCTTTGTTCGGGCAACCGACCTCCCCGGACGACCCGTCGCCTCCGCAGGATCCGCCGGCCGATCTCGATTTGATCCGCGGTGATGCGGTGCGGCTTGGCCGCCACCAGCGTCTAGGGCGACCGACGGACGTGGTGGGTGCGGTGGTTGGAGACGGACCGTGGATGGTTGACCCAGGTCTATACATCCCGACCGGATCAAATGTATACTCAGTTTATTTTTTCTCGTTTTGGGGTGGATAATAGACATCCGTTGGCTCTAAGGAGCTATTATTGGACACCCCTTATTTTAAGGGCCCTTGTACCTGAGAATTCATCCGATTTTCCTCCAATGTCATATATGTCCTCACTGGGCGCGGGCTTGCGCTGATCCGGCGGCCCACGCATAGTGGAACTCAACATTGTATATTTTTGTATCCGGATCGCAAACGGGGCATAGTCAAGCACTCCCAGCTGATATGATGCTTCATCTTTACGCAGTATGTACATACGTCTATAAGTCTATATTGGATCATGCATCTTTCTCGCCCTGGAAATCATCGCCGCGGACGGCTGTGAGCGTTTCGCGGAGAGCTTCCCGCCGCGAAAAGCTTCCACGGGACGGTTGGCTGGACTGGCCCCAACATCACATATCACGTCATCACAAATCCCAGACACGCCATGTATGGTATATTTACCTACATTGAGGTGGTTTGAGGGGTCCATGGGGCGGCATATATAACAGACACGGAGTGTCAGGTGTCAGGGAATACTTCCCCCCCCTAAGCTCGGGAACACGAGAAACTCCCTTGCATCCGGAACTTCATACAACATCATACTACCACTCGCAGTGTGCAGGGATGCTTTGAATGACCATTGGCAAGTGACAAGTTATTTGCTTCAAAGGCGGTGCCAACAGCATGTTACTTCCTCGACTCCCCCAACAACAACAACAACAACAACAACAACAAGCGGAACAAATTTTGGCCAGGTGGGTGGCAGCCGTGGCATTCAACGAACCAGTGGACAGCAAATCCTATTGCGAACGTCATGTCCCGTTGATCTTCAGCCCCCCCCCGAAACAGAAACCATACACGGCCGGGCCAGAAGCGAAGCCAGTCGACGCGAAGCGAAGCTTCGCCGAAGAAGCCGTGCCTTGCCAAGCTGAATATCCGGCTCGTTGGGCTTCAAGGGGAGAATGTTCCCTTTGGGCACCTCCAGCAATTCGACCAATCAAATCTGGATAGAGTCTGCAGTCTGCAACATGCTGTTAAGGTCGATAGACTAGGACTCATAGGCAAAAGCAAATTTGACCGCCCAAAGCCTCAAAGAACAACTCACTTATCAGGATCATCGTGGATCATCTTTCTTCGAACAAATGATTAAACCAGCATAGACCCTGAGCAGCTTCAAAACGATTCGTTTGGACCAATATTAGTCCAAAACGATTTCTTGGTACGCCCTACCTTCCCCTCCCAAGAGCAAACTGCTCTATCAATGTTTTCTGTCGGCATCGACATCGCTAGTTGTTCGACCACAAGAGAAGACATGAGAAGAGCAGGACAAGAGAAGACAAGAGGAGGACAAGACCCGGTCAGAGAGCCCGGCCACAGAGTTCAGAGGCGCGGCCAGTCAGTTCAGTGTGTCCAGGGCTGGTCAGCGCGGCCAAAGGACAAGAGGAGGACAACAGCAGGACAAGACCCGGTCACAAAGCCCCGGCCACAGAGTTCAGCGGCGGGGCCAGTCAGTGTGGCCTGCTCTGTTTTTCTAAGATAGAACCCCAACACTAAACTGTTATTTGGGGAATGAATACGCTGGGAGGGCCCTCTGACTCACATTCCCACAGAAATGGAGTTTGAGTTCACCACATACCCCACTATTCACATCCAAAACCCATGTTTTTGGTCAAAGACCGGGACACCAGGTGTTTGATGGGGCCAGAGAGGGGGGGGGACCGGTCGACAGCCAAGTCACAAGCTTCGTGGAACAACGCAGGGAGAACACGAAACCTGGAATTCATATATTTAATGCATGTGGATGGCATGGCTGGCTGGCCGCGAAAGGAAGACCCATGTTCCTCTACAATCGGGGAGTTGGCCACTTCCATGTTAGTTTCAGGGAGTGTAGTCCTCAGGCCTGGCCTTGAAACGCACTGGCAGTGGCGGCTTGTAGCGTATGGGAGGCGGCATCGGGGCGAGAGGCGCCAATCGCCCCAAAGCGCTCAAAACCAAAACCGTGGGACCGGCGCACACCACGGGACCATGGGAATTCGGCAGAGTCGTCTCTCATGGGAATTCTCATTGGGATGATACCTGTAACATCCTGTAACTCATCCTGCTGTTGGCAGGAAAGGGTTTTTTGGAAGACCCTTTTTGCGATGGTGGTATTCCGCTTCCATGTCACATGGGACTCGGAGATCTCTCATCGACCCACCAATGGGTTGGGACGTCATGAATACAACCGAAGACCTGGGCGCTGTCGCCTCTGGTGCATCTGGGACAGCGAATCCCACACATCCGGTGTATATAATATCTCTCTCTCTCTCTCTCTCTTGGGTCTGTCCGAACTGACCTGTAACAGCCACCCGTAAACAAGAACATCACGACTTTTGGACAAGGCCTGCAACTGAACCATCATCACTGAGCCCAGGTAATAGGATAGACCCAATATATATATAGAGAGAGAGAGACAATACGGAGAGATCTCAGTTCGATGGAAATAGACCAAAACCCATTAGTTGGGGGTCTCCATCGGGTAGTGGTGCCCAGCTGGAAGGTGGTTGAAACTGCCTCGTATTGGACATCCCTCCGCGTAACGGGAAGCCAAGCAGTGCAGCAAGACGAGATGTGAGATTGTTGCCAATCGTTGGAACACAAGTTGATTGTAGAAGAGAGAGGCTCAATTGTTTTTGGACATCCTGGTGGGCTAAGCTTCGCAATAACAAATCATCAACAAATACACAGACTGAAGACTGGCCATGGCAATGTAAGGCTATATTGCGCTCTATATATAATGCATGAAAGGTCTTGAGTGGGTTGCCTCAATGCACTAAACATTTCTTCTCCTACGCCTCTGCTTGGCCTTGCTTACCACAAATACACCCCACATCAATACAGCCTGCATCCGCCCGCGATGAATACACGGCCCCCGCCCCCAAAGCCGATAGCAAAGGAATACAAATTCTTGTTTCCCCTGGTTTCCCACTGCGTCTGTCACCCCAAAAGCTCAAACATGCACACAGGATACGGGTTTTGAACGACCATTATGCTCGATTATGCTACTTGTATATCTTGTATTCTATGCAGCTTCTACCGGTGCTGGAGTGCCTGTTTCAGCCCCCCTTGTCCTGCCACCACAAAACTTGTCGGAATTGTTTTGTTTCTCATATGACGCTCTCACAGCGTGGTGGTCACGCGAGTCATGCTGTGCATAGCGTTCAGATTGACCAGCGGTGGGTTGAACAACACTGTCATCGTATTGCATCTAAATCTACCCGCCTGCAGAACTTGCTTTGTCATGGCATACTATTCCAAGAGAAACGTTGCACACACGGATCAAAAAAAACACACCACACGCTGATCATCCGAGCAACAGAATGCAAAAGAGCGACCTGCTCACGGCTTTCTTGGAATATTAAGTGAAACAAACGAGATAAAATCTGAGGGAGCCGCGCAAGCTGTCCATGGCTCTGCTTAAACCCCCGTGCATGTAAACTCTTGTGCTTCATCATCCAGCGCCCCAAGCGACTCGACAACTTCGAGGGCGCTGTGCCGCTCCGGCAGCAGCACCCGGGTGAGACATGAGAAAGCTATGTTTTGGACTCGGTGGCGCCCCTTGAATTCTTCACCAGCCTTCGAACTTAGGGCTCCAAGGGTCAAACTTTGGAGCAGAAGGGGTTTCATGACCCCTTCAAAAGCCAGAGGTTGAGGTGGTGAAAGCCTTTTTCTTCTGCTTCAGGTTGTTGCGCTCCACCCTTCTCCTGTGCGCGGGTGGATCAAATCCGCGTGGATGCGAGGTATTAGGGAAAGCTTAGCCGCCCTCATGCCTGGGTTGCTGGAAGATCGTTATCCTCCAACCAATGGTTTTTAGGGTCGGGATCGTCGTCACCAGGGCGTACTGTTGACTGTGATGCTGTTGTTGTACATTCGTACTCAGCCATCTAGTCAGGCTAGGAAAGGATAAGCCATGTGTGGCAGGCCCAATCCCACCAATGTCAGGCCTCAAATGATACGGTTGTGCATGTTGTTCCCCACCCGTAGGACTGTGGGGTTGTTAGATTTTTAGAACTTTGGACTTCAGTACGCCCGGTAGCACAACTTAGCTCTTCCACAGCACACTGGCCAAAGTGACCCCTGAGTAGCGCAACTTAGCTCTTCCACAGCACACTGGCCAAAGTG